CATACATACATAAGAACTTTCACATCATTACTAGAACTCACAGTGGGCCTGTTTATGCAAATGAGTAGTAACAAGTGTAATAGTCTTAGAAAGCGCTCGTTATTTAGATCTGCTTATAATGGGCTGTCGTTACACTTCCGCTGACAAATTGGGCTACAACTATCGTCCAGTAGGGCACTCCGATTCAGGACTTTCCTTTGCACCCGGCAGTGGATCCGGTGGATTCGGTGGACTTGGCGGACTTGGAGGAATCGGCGATAGCGGTTTAGGTGGATTGGGAGGTAGTGGCAGCTTTGGCGGTCCAGATGGAAGTGGTGGTGTCGGTGGCTTCGGAAGCAGTGGTCTTGGCGGCTCAGATGGTGGTCTTGGAGGACTTGGTGGTTCAGGCGATATTGGCAACAGCGGTAGTGTTGGACCTTCTTACTCAGCACCAGCAGAATTCGACAAGGAATTCTTTACATATACCGCTTCCGAACAAGAATTTGATGACGGTGATGCAGGTCAACAAGTTGCCAACTCCCTGAAAAAGAATCTCCGTGTCATCTTCATCAAGGGACCTGAAAATAGCGGACTCGAGAACGCTGCTCTCCAATTGGCTAAACATGCTGGGGAAGACCGCACCGCGATCTATGTTTTGCAGAAACAAAGCGATATTGGCGATTTGGCTAAGAAACTTAACTCCATCCAAGGTCAGAGCAGCCACAAGCCCGAAGTACATTTCGTCAAATACCGTACACCTGAAGATGCCGCCGATGCCCAACGTGCTATCCAATCTCAATACGATCAATTGGGTGGTAACTCTCAAGCTCATGATGGTGGTGTTGCTCCAGTACACAACTTTGCCTCTCAAGCTCCAGTTGCTGCACCACAAGTGAACGCTCCTCGCAACTCTTACTTGCCTTCTTCCATTATTCGCGTTTAAGACTGATTGCCGGGCGGAGACGAAGTTATATTATAGTTTGAAGGACTGATTTGTTAAGTTTGTTGCAATTGTTATGGAACTGCGTTATTGTTTTCCAGATATTAAAGATATTTAAAACGAAATCTTGTCTTTTTTTCATTTTTAATTTTGGTTTGAAGCAAAATTTTCGAATTCCCATACAATCTGTTGACCAGGAAAGAGTTTTTAAGATACACATACATATTTAACTTACCAAATGTAATTTCTTTCAGTTAACTAAGAGATATTTTTTTAGGCCATAATTTTTCGGGAACAACGTTTTCAAATCGTAAAAATCATAATCGCAACGCATCATAAGAAAATTTTGTGCAGCTTGAAGCTCACTTCTGGTTGAATAAATATGCTGATAAATGAAACAGTAGAATTTAGAAAGACGATAATCCACAACACATGGTCGAGGCACAATTACGTCCTTAAAGACTCTTTCGTATCAGAACTAGATGAAGTTGGTGTGGCGATACAACTAACGAAACACTTTCTGGAATACGGCACACAACCAACGAATCCATCGATGTTTTAAGTGAAAATTTTCTTCGAATAACATCTCTTATTGGAAAACCCGTTAAAAATTATTATTATGCTGTAAGTTGAAAGCGTACTTGGATGGTTTAGTGCTTGTGAAAAGCTATCTAGTCGACAGTTATCAGGTAGTAAAAATTGGGAACCGCGCATTGCAACTCAAAACCATTACCACAGTGATGCCTTGAGGCCCCATCATAGGTCAGCGTATTTATTAATGAACCATGCCAAACTTCTCAAATACTGACCTGCCTGCTATTTCAAGCTGGGCGGCTGACAGTGGTCTCGTATTAAACAACAATAAGTGCTGTTGTTGCCAATATGCATTAGAAAACAGACAAAATTTGATTTGGCTTTTGCTCCCAATATACATGATAATTATCTCTTAAAATTAGTAAGCAAGACTTAACTTAAAACTTTGAATATATTATTAACTTTTCCCTGCATTGATCGTGTAAATTCAATTGGTAGTAAGATTTCTGTTATTTTGTGGAATCTTAGGCAGTTTTCTAAACTTATGATCAACATATCCAGCCCAATGCGCGTACTATTTGCAACACCATCACCGTGTAGACCACGTCCAACACGCAGGGAAGAAAATCTAGCGACCGCAGCTGAGAGTGTACACGAAGACCGTAGAGAGTCGATTCGGTGCCGACTGACATTGAACGACTTGGTGCATTTTACTTAGAGATCATAAATTGAAACTTCTGCAAGAACTGGAACCACTCGGCCTTCTCAACCGACATCGCAAGGGCAAAAATTCCAAGATGATCCGACATTTTCGAGCCAAATTTTGTTCAGCGATGAGGCCCATTTCTGGCTCAATGGGTATGCAAAAAAGAAAAATTTCCACTTTTGTGATGAAGAGCAACCTGAAATTTAAGAGCTACCATTTTATCCAGGAAAAAAAACGGTTTGGGGTGGTTTCTGGGCCGATGAAATGATAGCTCCACATTTCAACAAAAAATTTGACGGTGAAAACAAACCATCAACGGCGACTGTTATCGCGGCATGTTAATTATGTTAACCGACTATTTAATGCCTGAAATTAAAGCACGTGATCTTGGCAACAATTGGTTTCAACAAAAAGGCACCACTTTCCACCATTCGCATCAATCAATGGATTTATTGAGAGAACACTTTGATGAGCAAATAATTTCATGTCTTCGGCCGGTCGATTAGCCAACAAGATAGTGTGATATCACACCTCTGGACTTTTTCTTGTGGTGATATATAAAGTTTAAAGTCTAAAGTCTGAGCGGACAATTCCGCTTCAATGCATGCCTTGGAGCAAAACAACACGCGTGTAAATCGCCAGTTACCAGTCGAAATGCTCGAACGAATTATTATAAACTGGACTCAACGGATGGACTATCTGAGACGTAGCCAATATTTAACGGAGGTAATCTTCAATAAATAAATGCCAAAAGACGTTATTTCAAATGATAATGAACATTTCACATTAATTTTCAAAATTTCTGTGCTATTTTCTAAAATCTACGAAACCTCGAAATTAATCACCCTCTATTTGTTATTCATAATTGACGCTTATAAACGCTAAAGCGATTTTCTGCCGAGCTCCTCCTCCAGCAAATGATGGGACCTATAGTTTATCCTAAGTTGCTTCCGAACGGCTGACCTCGTAGGGTGCTCTACCGAAAACCGACCGCAATTTAAGTTTCAAAGTTTAATTTTCAGCAATTTTTGAAGTTTGACGAAAGCACGTCTGGAATCATATCAATTAGCAACTTTGACTTTGTTTGAAATATTATTGACAAAAAGGGGTTTGCATATTGTTAAAAACTGTACCATTCTGGGAAATTTGTGGAAATATATTACAAATTTTGGTAGGATCTATGACAAGAAGTAATGACTTTCACCTAGTGCTTCACAGACAAGCACAGACAGCCTTTTGTTGATTGATTCAAATATATTTTAGTAAAAACTGTTTATAACAATAGCAAAGAGTTAGTCTACATAGATATGAGTTATGGTATTTTATTGCCACAAGAAAGTGAGCTCTTGTAAGCGATGAATGAATATATTTGTTGATGCCGATGTTGATGTTGATGTTGTAGACATCAAAACGATTATAAAGTTCAATAACCTGACGAATTTTTAATTGATAGTTTTTATCGTGTTTTCTTTAGCATTTTACGAATGTCGAATTTACTGTGGGCCCATGCATGTATGTATGTATGTTTCAAGCATTTATAATCGGTGGACTAAACCAAACTAATAAACATACATACATACATAAGCGCACTGTTTTTAGCGCAAGTCTGATTTATTTGACATTTATTGTTAAGTAGAGCAAAAAGTCTTTGAATTGTTGATATTTTTTTAAGTTTAAATTTTTATTTCATACTCAGTAGGAACTTTGCTTATAATAAAAATGTTCAATTGTTATTGCTTTTTATGATAAAATTTGAATTTGCCATAAAATTGCACTTTAGTTGTCAAGATGATGCTTTGAAGCAAAGGAAGCTGTTGCGATTTGTATAAAAGTTGCAGTTTCAGAAGCAGTGAATCAGTACAAAGTAGACCTTTGCGAGTTTAATTTGCTTCAAACTTTCCATCTGGTAATAATACAAAATGCGTGCCTTCATTGTGTTGTGTTTGATTGCCGTCGCCTGCGCTGATAAGCTCGGCTACAACTATCGTCCTGTAGAACATTCGGACAGCGGTCTCTCATTTGCGCCAGGTGGTGGCAGTGGAGGATTAGGTGGTGCTGGAGTTGGTGTTGGACTAGCCGAATATGGACCAGCTCAATCCGGACCAGCGCAATCCGGACCATCATACAACGCACCAGCTGCTGAATATGAAAAAGAGTTCTTTACATACACTGCTGATGAAGCTGAATTCAATGAGCCCGCCGGTAATGATGTAGGACCTGAATCGCTGAAGAAGAATCTGCGTGTTATCTTCATTAAGGGACCTGAAGGTAATGGCTTGGAAAACGCTGCCGTTAATCTTGCCAAACTCGCTGCAGAGGAGCGCACTGCCATCTATGTGCTACAGAAACAAGCTGATTTGGGCGGTTTGGCGAATAAATTGCAAGCCCAGCACGATGTTAACCGCAACAAACCCGAAGTGCACTTCGTCAAATACCGTACCCCAGAAGATGCTGTCAACGCTCAACGTGCTATCCAATCGCAATACGATCAATTGGGTGGCAAGTCTCAATCGCATGACGGTGGCGCTGCTCCAGTTCACAACTTCGCTTCGCCTGCTGCTCAGCCAGCGCCACGACCTGTCAGTGCTCCAGGTGCTGCTTATTTGCCATCCTCGATTCTTCGCTTCTAAGCTGCGCGGAGTTTTTTCAACCCCTTGGATCCTGAAGATTTTACAGACTGAAGCAATTTTGTTATCGTTGTTGATTAGTGTTAATAAAGAATTCTTTTAAATTTTATTAAGAAATTTGGTTTTCTTGTACGCATGTTTAAGTTTGTTAAGCAATTTCTTTGTGTTGAGCACTAATTTTTTGTTTTACGATAGAAGAAGGCTCTTGCAAACTGCAAATATTTCATATCTTTTTGCATGAATGTGTTTGTGGTTTTGATTAACAAATGGAATTTTAAACTACTTAAATACTAATTTTGGTTGACTGAAGTTCGACTTCGTTTGATTTTGTTCAAAAGAAAAGTCTTGTCTTTTTTTACATTATCAATCTTGCCTAGGTGACCGATTCAAGAAAAAGTCATAACGTTTCTTTAATAAATCCTTTGAAAATATTTTAGTTCAGTTGAAATATTTCTTGGTTAATTATATAAGAAAGTGGGAAAACCCCTAAAATATAGTATTTCACTTTAACAGTTAAAGATAAATTGAATTTTACCCGAATATTTCTCGATATAAAGTAGATTAGCCGTCTTTCCATCCATTGTGTGATGTACAAAATCAAATCAAGCGCAAATTTATCTGGGCTTACTGAGGGGGATTCAATGGTTAAAATCGGTTAAGAGCTAAGCGCTTCTTTTAAATGAGAAATAAATGAAAAGTTCAGAAATTTCATTGAAATTGGACTTCAATGAAAAGAACATAAGAATATCATTAAAAAATTTGATTGTGTTTGAACTGTGCGTTCCACAGTATATATAACACACTGTACGATAGAATTTAAAAAAAAAATGTATTTGAATTACGCGGCTATGTACAAAGCGCTACAGAGCTCGCATCTGGCATATACATAATTTGAAAGGTCTTGACATAACCTATAAAACAACGCTACGCATGATTAGTTTGGATATTGCGTTCAACAGTTGTAGACGTGTAAACATGGAGTTCACTAACGCCGAAATTCGCGCTATTTTAAAGTTTTCCTTCGTTAAGGGCAAATCCGCTAGAAAAACGTTCCGTGACATTAATGGTGTTTTGGGGGATGGTACTCTGTCACTTCGAACCGCGGAGGAATGGTTTCGACGATTCAGAGCCGGTGAAAACGACACCATGGATAAGCCAGCCGGCGGAAGACCTGTGACGACAAATACCGATCAAATGATGGAATACATCGAGTTAGACCGGCATATGGCATCTCGTGACATCGCCCAGGAGATGGGAGTTAGTCACCAAACCATTTTGAACCATCTGCAGAAGGCTGGATCCAAAAAAAAGGTTTATGTTTGCCGCATAATTTGACGAAAAAAAACCTTCTGGACCGAATCAACGCCGGCGATATGCTGCTGTAACGAAACGAACTCGACCCATTCTTGAAGCGGATGGTGACTGGCGACAAAAAATAGATCACATACGACAATATCAAACGAAAACGGTCGTGGTCGAAGGCCGGTGAATCGTCCCAAACAGTGGCCAAGCCGGGATTGACGGCCAGGAAGGTTTTGCTGTGTGTTTGGTGGGATTGGAAGGGAATCATCCACTATGAGCTGCTCCCATATGGCCAGACGCTTAATTCTACCATCTACTGCGAACAACTAGACCGCTTGAAACAGGCGATCGACCAGAAGCGTCCACAATTGGCCAACAGGAAGGGTGTAGTGTTCCACCAGCACAATGCCAGACCACACACTTCGTTGATGACTCGTCAGAAGCTACGGGAGCTCGGATGGGAGGTTTTATCACATCCACCATATAGCCCGAACGTAGCACCAAGTGATTACCACCTGTTCCTGTCCATGACGAATGCCCTTGGTGGTGTGAAGTTGTACTGAAAAGAGGCTTGTGAATAGTGGCTGTCCGGATTCTTCACAAATAAGGAGGGGGGCTTCTACGAGGAAGGTATTATGAAGTTGCCGTCTAGATGGGAACAGATCATCGAACAAAACGGCGCATATTTTATTTAATCCGATCACTTTAAAACTTTTTATAAAGCACTGAATGAAGAGCAAAACAGCGGAAGGGATATTTGACAACCTTATATTTTTAACATACACAATCCGAAGCTTTGTGCCTATACCCAACATAAGTACTATTTTACCGTTACTTCTCAATAGACTTGGAGTTAAATATTTAGAGTATGGCACACGAAATTTTCTCAGGCTTTTTGTATATGGTGACTTTAGTAGAAGTCCAAAGGATTGCCCAAACTTCTTCTTAAGTAATTGTGTGACATTGTGGTGAGTTTGTAGTAAATTTTTGGGTTACTGATATAGAGCGAGTTTCAAAACATCAAAATACTTTGTCATGAGGCTGTTTCGCTATCATATCACCGCAATGCAACCCTGCATTATACAAATTTGCCTTGCAACAATACTTTACAAACTCTAACATTTTGGTACCCTTTCGTGCAAATCAGTTGATTCTCGGTGAAATTGCTAAAATATAAAACAGTTCAAGAAAATAAGTAATATAATGTTTAAAAAAGAGTTAATTATTAATTTTTTTTTTAATACAATAAAGCATCACAAACGATAACGAAGCGCTGATTGCCTTTTGTTTGCGCATCAATAACTTTACCGAGACATTTTGGAACATGATACATCCTCAAAGTTTTGGAAGTCACCCATACCTTTTGGTTTGTTCTCTTTAGAAGAGGGGCAGTCTCTATTCGGTCGCTCCCTTGCGGTTCAAAACTTGTTCTTTGCCTCCAAAACAGCTCTGGGCAAAGTTGAAAAGTCTTGGTGTGTATTCAAACTCCGAATTACCCTGCGCACTGGATCCCAATGAGCTAGATATTTTCTTTGCTTCAAGCGGTTCGTTGGTTACTTATATGGCTAGCACAAGGACCTCTTCATCATGCGACGCTTCAGTTTGGTTCCTTTTGTGAGATAGAAGTGGCAAGGTGTGTTTTCGGTATCAAATTAAGTTTATCAAATTAATCTTGCGCTATAATATGGCGGTTTGACGCACATACTCTATTAATGTTTTACGTTTTCCATCTAAGTGGAGCGTAGCAAGTGTCATACCAATAGCCAAAAAAAAAAAAATAAAAAAAGAAAAAAAAATAGAAAATTAGGGCGCATAAGTATATTACTAGGACTTTCGATGGTGCTCGAGATGCTTCTACCATGCTAAATTTCTGAGTTCTTTAATAACCCCTCTACAGAGTGATTTCAGAGGTTCATGTCATTTATGTGCCACAGCTATTGTTAAAGTCTTAGATGATAACGTAAGTCTTTCGTTCAAGACCATGAAATACTACTATGTTTCCTTGATTTTTCTAATATTTTTCATTCTGTTAACTACAATCAATTGTGTGAGAAAGTTTTGAGTATTTCAGGTGTGTTATTTGGGCGACAGTTTTCGAAAGGTTCTAGTCGTAAGAATTCTACCCTCGTGCATATGACGTGTGATCAGAAAATAACTGTTATTTTAAATTTTTTCAAAAAATATTTTTTTATTCATCAATAACTTTCTTGTGCCCTTCAAAGTAATCCCCATCAGACACTTATGCTCGCGCTTATCTTAATCCTCGAAACCCTTCTGAAACACGTTTTTTTGTCTCCCCAATAGCTCCTGTGTCGATTTTACTTTTATCTCCTTCTTATTGTAGAAAAACGCTTTCCTTTCGTCTATGGTTTCGGTTTTGGTAAGAGGAAAAAATCAGCGAGGTGCGGCGAATACGGTGGTTTTGGCAAGATAACGTTTTTGTTTTCGACCAAAAACTCACGCACTGTGTTGCCACAGTCAAAATGGCTGATATTTCCAACATATATAACAGACACATGTATAAACATTACAAAAAATCAAAGCTCATGAAATTTGAAAATAAAGTATATATAAGGTTGAGAAATATCTCCCTTCCGCTTTTTTGCTCTTCATTCAATGCTTTATCAAAAGTGTGACAGTGATCGGATTTAGTTAAAATATGCGCCGTTTTGTTGGATGATCTGTTTCCATCTAGACGGCAACTTCATAATACCTTCCTTGTAGAAGCCCCCCTCCTTATTTGCGGAGAATTTGGACAGCCTCTTTTGAGTTCAACTTCACACCACCAAAGGCATTCGCCATGGACAGGAACAGGTGGTAATCACTTGGTGCTACATCCGGGTTATATGGTGGATGCGATAAAACCTCCCATCCGAGCTCCCGTAGCTTCTGACGAGTCATCAACGAAGTGTATGGTCTGGCGTTGTCCTGGTGGAACACTACACCCTTGCTGTTGGCCAATTCTGGACGCTTCTGTTCGATCGCCTGTTTCAAGCGGTCCAGTTGTTCGCAGTAGATGGTATAATTAAGCGTCTGGCCATATGGGAGCAGCTCATAGTGTATGATTCCCTTCCAATCCCACCAAACACACAGCAAAACCTTCCTGGCCGTCAATCCCGGCTTGGCCACTGCTTGGGACGATTCACCGGCCTTCGACCACGACCGTTTTCGTTTGATATTGTCGTATGTGATCCATTTTTCGTCGTCAGTCACCATCCGCTTCAAGAATGGGTCGAGTTCGTTCCGTTTCAGCAGCATATTTGCGTCAAATTATGCGGCACCCAAACATCAAACTTTTTTTTGTATCCAGCCTTCTGCAGATGGTTCAAAATGGTTTGGTGACTAACTCCCATCTCCTGAGCGATGTCACGAGATGCCATATGCCGGTCTAACTCGATGTATTCCATGATTTGATCGGTATTTATCGTCACAGGTCTTCGTTTTCACCGGCTCTGAATCGTCGAAACCATTCCTCCGCGGTTCGAATTGATAGAGTACCATCCCCCAAAACACCATTAATCTCACGGAACGTTTCTCTAGCGGATTTGCCCTTAACGAAGGAAAACTTTAAAAAAACGTGAATTTCGGCGTTAGTGAACTCCATGTTTACAAGTCTATAACTATTGAATGCAATATCCAAACTAATCGTGCATAGCGTCGTTTTGTAGGTTATGTCAAGACCTTTCAAATTATATATATTAGTATAGTGTTGCCAGATACAAGCTCTGTAGCGCTTTGTAC